CTCCCACATATTTTAGACTATCTCTAGGCTACTTAAAATACCTCATACTTTTTCAATATTAAGTAAATAGCTTTTATGACATATTGTTTAGAGAGTAACAAGAAAAAAGCCTGCACCTCCTTAGTACGGCTGCACTTTTCCTTAACTAATGTCCGTCTCTGATTAGTTGACACCATGATGCTAACTCCACAGACACAGAGAGGTGACCTTGATATGAATGGAGACCCTTCTCTGTGAGGGTGAGAAGGATACATATCAGCTTTCCGTAGTGGTTCCTTCTGAGCTTGTGAAAAATAGGAAGAAGGGAACTGGGTGGACCTAGGCGATAATAGGTTTTCATCTGCTCTACAATGTGATTGATTGATCGATTGATTGATTGATTGTGTGTGTGTGTGTGTGCATGCTTGTAGAGACCAGAGGACACTTATCACTCGTCACCCAGTTCCTTTAAGACAGGGCCTCACACTGAATTTAAGTTTGATGTTTCAGCTGGGCTGCTGGCCAGAAAACTTCTGAGATCTGCGTTTCTGCCCCTTACACCCAGTGATGTGTAAAAAAACCTTGCGTATCCATGCCATTTTTGTTCATTTTTGTTTTGTTTTTTGAGACAGGGTTGCACTGTGTAGCCCTGGCTGTCCTGGAACTCACTTTGTAGACCGTGCTGGCCTCAGACTCACTGAGATTTTCCTGCCTTTGCCTTTTGCTGGGATTAAAGACGTACACCACCACCGCCTTGTGTCAGGTTTGTTTGTTTGCTTGTTTTTTTAATGTAGGTGTTGGGGATTCAAATCCAAGTTCTCATGCTTACACAACACTCACCCACTGAGCTATTTCCTCAGTCTCCAATAATGTGTTTCTTATAAAAACTAAAGTAAATATATGTATCTCCCTGTCAAATCTCAGGGTAAGCACGTAGATGGCGTCATTCTATAATTTGGTGTTGCATCATTAAGTATTTGGAAAGCTTCAGAGTCCACGAAACCTGAGGCGAAGTGTCTGGTTTGGTGTCGCTCAGGCGGAGCCTTCTAATGCTACTTTGCACGTTTTCAACCCTGGTGGGAATCCCCTAAGTCATAATGATGAAGATATTATGGGAACTAGATATGGTGGAAGAACTCAATCAGGACTCAAAGATAAGTATCTTCTTTTGTCGTTAACTGTTTAAAACTCAGGCAAAAGCTGTAGGTGAGAACCGTACCAGGAAGTCAAGGTCTAGGGGGTTTCGTTCTGTAGTCTGTGTACAGTGCCCTCTAGTGGCGGCTCGGCGGAGCTCTAACGTGGCCCTCGGGAGGGCCGCTAATTTGCTCTTTATTTAAAAGCAAAGATGAGTTCGGCTTCATTTTCATAGTTAAGGACTATGAATAGTGCTCGGATATTTAAGTTTTATATTCATCTTCTGCAAGAAAGGTATTGTCTGTCCTTTTAAATGCATTACAGTTGTGTAGGTAAATTCGACTAAAACGTAGTAGATTGAATTGGCTAAATCCATACAAGTAAAATGTTATCAATATACTACTCCAGAAGTGTTGTACTTCATGAGAATCCCTTGGAAAGTTTTCCGTGCCCTCACATGATTAAGCCTCAAGGGAACACTGAGATAATAGGAATTGGTTCTGGTTCCATGTTAATCTGAATGGCGCTAATTCTTTGATGCTGGTAGTCAATAACCCTGTAGTCAGATTATTGCTCATTGTGTCCTTTATTTAAAACTTAATCCCAATCTCCTTGGAGATTAACCCCTTCTTGGCCAGTGGTTCTGAACTGGGGGGTACATGCTAAACCTACTGAGGTAAAGAATTCTAGGGCTGGAGAGATGGCTCAGAGGTTAAGAGCATTGTCTGCTCCTCCAAAGGTCCTGAGTTCAATTCCCAGCAACCACATGGTGGCTCACAACCATCTGTAATGAGGTCTGGTGCCCTCTTCTGGCCTTCAGGCATACATGCAGACAGAATATTGTATACATAATAAATAAATATTTTTTTTTAAAAAAAGAATTCTAACACAGAGATATTTAGGACTCACCCAAGCTTGCTTTAATAGGTGCATGTGTGTGTAGGTCAGAGGTCGGCATCAGGGGCCCTCCTGCATCTCCAGAGTTTCACACTGAATCAGGAACTCACTGATTAGAGAAGCCCTGCCCCCCAGGGCCTGTCTTTCTTCAGGCTCAAGTACTATGGTTGCACACACATCACCGTATCGAGCTTTTACATGGGTTCTGGATATCTAAAGTGGAGCTCTCATGTTCTAAGCAGGTGCTTTACTGACTGAACCATCTCCCTAAGCCCTCTTGTTGCTATTCATCATATAGTATCGGTTCGGCCTTAATATACGTTCAGAACATTCTTGGTATAGCGTATACACCAAACCTCAAGATTGTGCTATGTAAAGCACTATTGTGTGTGTGTGTGTGTATTAGTTATAACATGTACTGACTTTGAAAATTAATCATCATTGTCCTTACAGACCTTTTGTCTAAAAGTTTTTTGGGGTAGCCTTGTCCTCATCTTACATGCCATAGAAATCTCAAAATTCCTGATTTTAGTGGAATGGCTTTGAGTTTCTCTCCATTTAATTTGATATTAGCTGTTGGCTTGCTATATATTGGCTTTTATTATATTTAGGTATGATCCTTGTATCCCTAACCTCTCCAAAACCTTTATTATGAAGGGGTGTTGAATTTTGTCAAATGCTTTTTCTGCATCTAATGATCATATGGTTTTTTTTTCTTTCAGTTTATTTATATGATGGATTACATTGATAGATTTTCGTATGTTGAACCAGCCGTGCATCTCAGGGATGAAGCCTACTTGATCATAATGGATAATTTTTTTTAATGTGTTCTTGGATTCTGTTTGCCAGAATTTTATTGAGAATTTTTGCATCGATGTTCATGAGTGAGACTGGTCTGTAATTCTCTTTCTTGGTTGGGTCTTTGTGTGGTTTTGGAATCAGGGTGACTGTAGCCTCATAAAAAGAGCTTGGCAATGACTCTTCTGTTTCTATTATGTGAAACACATTAAGGAGTATAGGTATCAGCTCTTCTTGGAAGGTCTGATAAAATTCTGCATTAAAACCATCAGGTCCTGGACTTTTTTTTTGGTTGGGAGGTTTTTTATGACAGCTTCTATTTCCGCATGACTTATAGGTCTATTTAAATTGTTCACATGGTCTTTATTTAATTTTGGTAAATGGTACTTATCTAAAAACAAGTCCATTTCTTTTACATTTTCCAACTTTGTGGCATATAAGCTTTTGCAAGATTCTCTGAATTTCCTCTGTGTCTGTTGTTATGTCCCCCTTGTCATTTCTGATCTTGTTAATTTGCATGTTCTCTTTCTGCCTTTTGATTAGTTTGGATAAAGGTTTGTCAAAATTCCCTTCTCAGTTGCATAATTCTTGTTAGGAGCCCTCCTTAGACCTGGAACTTCTACAGTCACCAGTGATCAACGTAGCAGTTGTAGATCCGTGGTGTTTGCTCCTCATTCTGTCGGTCAGGCTTTGCCGTTAAGGTCAGGCCGATCTGTTCTGCAAGTAATCGCTGCGTCTGAACGCTGTGATCCCTTCAGGGACCTCCAGAACCGGAATATTGTGTTTTAGGAACTGCTGTGAGATCTGGTGCCGCGAAGCGCCTCTGTTGGGCTAACAGGCTAAGTCTCTGGTTAGGAATTCCTTTCAGAGCCTACCAGTCTCCTGATCAGCTTCCTGGAGCGCAAAGCTAAGACTCCCTCATTGCTCCCAGGTAAGCAAGCGGGCACACTTCTGTGGCTTCGCCGAGGTCACCAGATACCATCTGTTCTTGTTCTGTGTCGAGACTCTGATCAAGAGTTCTTGTTTAAACGCTATCCATGGAATCTCTTGCTCTTTAGTAATGATTTCTTGTGAAAGGGATGGAATGATGCAGACTTTAACATGTCCCCAGTTCGTTTTGACCCCCTCGAGGCAGGGAGAGTGGTGCAGGCAGAGGGAAGTTAGAGGATGAGGTGGGGCGGGGAGCAGGTTAGAATTCTCCCTATCAGAGTGTCCGGGAGAAGTTAGGTTGGATTTCTGAAATATCAAACAGGACAGGACACTCCACAGCAATGTCTTTTTCCTCTTCCCTCACAACTTGTGTCTCTAAGTTTGCATTTAATTCTGAAAAATCAATATTATTGCTAGGAAGTGCTTACTCATAATAATAATTGAAGTTTCATTACATTTTAACTTATATGAAGATTCTATTATTTATTTTGTAGTCGTTGTAATATCTTTTTTTTTTTTTTTGGTAAGTCAAAAGCCAATAGGACAAAGGAGAACTTGTTTAGCGTTGTCCCCTGCACATCAGAGCACACTTCCTTCCACACCATATCCTTAAATAGTGTCATGTTTATGTGACCTCCCTGAGTGGTGCTACCCACTCACAGTCCATACTGTCTGCGAAACTAGCCAATACATACATTTTGTTCAAAACAAAACCCAGTGGAATGACCTTCCACTGTATTTGCATTGGGAAGAACAAGCCATAGCTGGCGTTTGCCCTGCGGGCTCTTTGCTTCCTGGTATGCTGTTGCTGTTTGACCTCTACACCACTACTCAACTCATGAAAGATTATGCCCAGAAGTGTCATGATCATAGAGGAAAATATGTTTCATGGAAATCTGTAGAAATAAAATATTGGAGAGTATCAGTTTCAAATGCAGTTTGATTATGGTGAAAGCTGGTTTGAAACGATGAAGGCTCTTCTGTAAAGATTCCACCCCAGCCACCAGCCCTTACCATAAACAAACTGATTTGTTCATTTTATTTTATTTTATTTATTTTATTAATTTTATTTCCAAAAGTTTCCACGGGCTACATATGCACAACACCTGGCTTTTCCCTCCATTGTAAGGCTTTGGCGCATAGTTCTCTAATCTATGTGGAGGCAAACTATTGGGGAATATTATTTTCAGATGTGTGGCTTTTGCTTACGCTGCATTCGTTTAACACTGTGACCTGTGATTCTTGCCTGTCTAAAACACCCGATGTTTGATGTGACGTCATCATGCTGCGCCCCATGCTTTGCCTGCCTGGGTCTGAGTAGTAGAATCCAGAAGGTGCCCAGAGACACAATAATCCGTACATCCGTCCTTGCCAGATGGGTCGTGGGGAAGGTGATTGGCACAGCCATGGTAAAAACTGCTAACGTAAGAGCGACCAGACTTGTTTTGGATCCCTACTTGCTAAAGTACTTCAACAAGCAGAGAACCCACTTTGCTCGCGATGCCCATCAGCAATGCTGCATCGGGGACATCGTGTGCCTCAGAGCTTTGCCTGTCAAGGGATCAAAGCACGTGACACATGAACTGGCTGAGATCTTTTTCAAAGTTGGCCAAGTTATTGACCCAGTCACAGGAAAGCCCTGTGTGGGGTTCGCCTACCTAGAAAGTCCACTCAGTTCAGAAACTGCTAACCCAAGTAAAACTCCCGAAGAACTCAAGGTCCCTTCCACCTAGGGAAGAAGGAGCCGAAGGGATTTCTGTCTTTATGTCTCCTCTCTGACTTCCATCACTAGCCGTCCAGTTTCTCTTCTGATATGAATGAAATAGTAAAAGTAAATGAAACAAAGAAAAAAAAAACACCTGATGTCTAATAAAGAGCTGACCGCCCCATTGCAAGGCAAGATCAAGGCAGAGAGTACAAACAGAAAGAAAACAGAGGAAGAAGAGGAGCAAGAGAACAAGCAGGGAAGGGCATCAGGGATCAGCCACCCAGCTACACAGTAAGCCATGGAGAAAGAAGTAAAGACATACAGAAGTAAGAAAGATAAAAGCCCAGAGGCAAAAGGTAGATGGATTAATTTAAGAAAAGCTGGCAAGAAACAAGCCAAGCTAAAGCTGGGTATTCCTAACAAAGAATAGCCTCCGGGTGTGATTTATTTGGGAGCTGGGTAGTGGGCCTCCCAGAAAGCCAAAAGAGTAAAACATCACATGATAGCAAACAGCTACCTCTGCACTGAACTCCACGGTTCAAGGCTTGGACTCTAGGACCCCATGCTTTGTATCCTAACTCCCCACCTACAAGCAGCAACTTAAACTCTCTGATCCTCAGCTGTCTAAGCTGGAAAATGGGCCCGAGTGTGGTCCTTAGTGTCACTGTGAGGACTAGACCACAACACAGAGCTTCCTAGTTTGCTAGAACATACCAAGTGCTAGCCGCAGCTGTTACTGCCCTGCTATTTTTAGGCCCCGGGAAGACATCCCTCCTTCACAGAGATCCAACAGAAGTGTGATGGAAACAAAAAACCATGCATAATATGGGATATAATTAGAACATGACAAGGTGGCAGCCAACTTCTGGTAGAAGGCTCAGCCATCTTGTTAGGAACTGATGGTGAAGTGTGTCGAGAAACAACCTTTTGGGCCTGGCAATTATAAGACAGCAAGCGATGGGGACATTCATTTCCACCCCTCCTGTGCTCGCAGAAGCTCACGGCCTGGAAGCGAGAGCTTGTGGCATGCGAAGGTTTTGATGATGATCTTCTAATGAGAACCTAGGAAGCCTGGCGCCTTCTGAGCAGCGCATTAGGGGCCTTTCCTTTCCATTTTGTGTTGGCTTTGACCTCCGTCACTGTAGCCTTTTGATACAACTGAAAGGGATTGAAATTAACAATTTAGGAGTGTATCTTTCCCATCATGCCTTTCTTTCCAATCATTTTCTATCCTTGCCCATGTTTTGAATAAGATAAAGCAAAACTACCCCTTCCTTCCTTTTCCATCATGCCAATGTTCTATGGGAACGGTTTTTATTAGTATTTCTGCTTGTTATTTGTTGGTTCATAACTCTTACCTACTTACTGGAGGGAGAGGACTGTATGTTCTAAGAAGGTCATCTATCCACATCTTCCCTGGAAGCCTTGGGTGGTGTCTTATTTGCTTAGTAGGACCTCTGGGATATTTTGCCCGTTGGTCATATGTCACCCCCTAGATATCATTGCCCTGCCCAGGCTCTGGGTCTCAGATAGAGAGAGCTTCCAAATGTAGACAGAAAATGGCTGCTTTCAGTCTTCTTTGGAGCAGTGATGCTGTCTCCATGGAGTCCAAACCTGGTCTGTCTGTGAGCCTAGGCTGGGCACCTGGTGCTGGGAAGACCTGGTGTCAGGAAGGCCTGCTACTGTCCTTGTTTCTCCTCTGTAGAGCCCTCAATTATAAAATGTCTCTTTCTTGGAGTCTCCTTCTACTCTCTGCACATCTATGCTTTCGAATATACCGTGGGAACACTGCGTGAAGATGCGTTGCTGTGATTGGTGTAATAAAGAGCTGAATGGCCAATAGCTAGGCGGGAGGTATTAGGAGGGACTTCTCGGGGCAGGGAGGACTCTGGGAAGAAGAAAGGAGGAGAGACACCAGGAGCCATGGAAGAAGCAGGATGGGAGGTATGTGACAGAATACAGATGAATAAAAACGGGGTACTTTAAGTTATAAGTACTAGTAATAAACAAACCTAAGCTATGGGCTGAGCTTTCATGATTAATAAGAAGTCTCTGTCATTATTTGGGAGCTGGTTGGTGGGTCAGAGAAAGACAAATTACATAGACACCTTTCCGTCAGCCCCAGTCCAGCCTTCGCTCCCGGCTATGCCATCTCACTACAAGGTTTTAATATACTTAGCGTGTGTTCTTCTCGAACTGTGAGTCTTCACTTGGGCAGCAAATGAATGGTGGGTCTTTAAGTGGGCAGATTTTCCTCCAAGCTGGACCTGTAGCCTCACTCACTCTGTGACTGTCTAACTGGACTCCCAAGGTTCCTGACTTTGTGGCTCCCAGACGCCCTAAAAACCACATGAGTGAGAGTGGCTTCTAAGGGAATTTCTCAGTCTCTCTGTGGAAAACTGATCTCCTACTGAAGCTGACCTTTGATTTCCACACTAGGTGCCCTCTGAGGCTAGGAAATTTCTGGGGAGCATGAGGTAGGACAGTAACGTTTTTTTTTGTTGTTGTTGGCTCCCAAAGAGCAGCAGATTCATTGCCGACTATTGGCTTTGTGGATGGACCCAACCTTCTCTCTCATTGCCAGCCAGCTTTGAGTATCCTCAGGTTTGGACCTTAGCCTTGGCTTTCTGGTACCTCTCTGGTCAGGTGGAAAAGGATTTCTAGAGAAACACCTTTGGGCCCTGTCTAGGTCTTTGTTTTGAGCCCTTGGACTAGACATGGTATCGAGTGCCAGCTCTTCCTTAGGTCTACAAGGAGCCCAGGTCCGAATCATATGGAGCTACGCTCCTCCCGCTCCTCCCACTGTGCCCAGATGCCTGGCTCAGCCTTCTTCAATCACTACCAGTTCACCAAATGGGTCAGAACAGGAAAGAGATGGCCTATTCGATGGGTTATTCAAAGAGGACTATACACAAAGACCAAATGTAAATGAAGGGTTGGTCTTAGGGAACTACAAGGCTAGAGGAAAAACCTGTCTGGCAGAAAAAGCTGTTATTCAAGGGCTACTAGACAAAGGGACAAGAAGGTAATGCAGAGTTCTTCCAGCCTCCTCTAGGCCTCTTTGAGGGAAGTGATGGTCCTTGGTGTGTCTGAAATGGCCTTTTAGGAGGAACGGAGGGAAAATAGTTACCCTCCCGCCCATCTCTCTTTCACTGACCTCCTTGGAGCCACACCTTGGCTGGATCCACATGGAAGCGAGAGCTCCTACAATGCTGTTGATGCAGCAAAGGGAAGGCATGGGTCCCACTCGGGGGTCCCTGTAGTGTGTAGAAAGACAAAACAGCGGGTTTCTATTTGGGAAACTAATCTAAAATTTATCAGGTTGCTTGTGTGTTGGCCTCCCCCCAGGTATTCTGTACCTACTAGATCTTAACATTTCGGTTATGTAGGCAGCAGCACTTATTTCCCTTCTAATGGTATTTCTCTCAGCAATCATTAAGATATAACAATGGCTGCATCTACTGGACCAAATCCTGGTGATTACCTCTTTCAAGTTAGGATGCTGTTCTTTCTGGATGATAAGGCTCCAGAACCATGGAGCAGCAACCTCTTAGTCACTGTAAGTGGGGCTGTAATCCTGCCTGCTGGAAGTCCTGGCTTCTTTTCTAGATCTTGCTCTGATTCCTTGAAGCCAGATGGTGGTTAACAGAGGCCAAAGCTTGCTTTCTCATGCCCGTCTACACTGTTCTGGTAGTGGAATACTCAACCCTGGGACCGTTTTTTTTGTCCCCTTCTTCCTTAGCTTTCTGGTCCATTTGGGAGCTCAGTCAGTTATGTGCATTTTCAGCTTCCTGGGCCTTATCTGTGTCAGTTCCTTCCACGGATAGTTTTAGTCTCTAGACTGAAAATAGCGAACAGCTTTCCTGTGAGCCTCCAATGCGGCCTTCCTATCTTGGTTCCCTGAATTAGTTTTAGCAGTGAGAGTCCACAGCCTGGTCTCTCAGACAGGGTGATGCTCCACAGTGACGGAAAGTGGTTTCTTCAAGTTGGGTTCAGCCTGGCCTGATTTCTCAGACCTTTTCTGTATCTTCCTGTTCTGCTTCCTGCAGCAGGTTTACAAAAATCTTGCCTTCCTTTTCGCTTTCCCATGCTTCTGCTCTTCCTCTGTGTCCCACTGATCTTAAGCAATTGTTATAAACATGTGTCAGTCAGATTGAAGTTGCCAATAAGGACATCGAAATCCCACCTCCTTGCCCTCCCCAGGCTCCCAGAGAGTTCCACTGCCTTGCCCAGGTGTACTTAACAGCTTCCCTCCTTTCAGCAATATTTTCTAAGCCTTACCACATTTTTTCCAGGGCTCTACTGTAGTCCACTCTCGGCCAGGCAAGCTACCAGTTTCTCCTGGTCTATGCAGGTCCTGAAGCAATGGCCTAGGAATTTTCCAGTCAGAAAGTTCAGTCATTGCTGACTCTTAGCCCTTCAGAGGTCACCCTCACAGGAGACTCCCCGAGACCACACGTACAACTTCTGAAATGCAGCCTCAGATTATGATTTGTCTCTCCCCCAAGCGAACTCCAAATAAAGACGTGGATGCAGGCTATTTATTTGTGAGATAATGCCAGGAAATACGGTTATGGGACTGATAAGTGAGACAGGAAAGGGGAAAAACCAGCAGATTTTGTTAGTGGGAAGGTTACCACTGTGGATAACTAAAATCAAATCCTGAAAACCATTGAAGACATATCTCAGAATTGTCCCCCTGGATGGGGAGGAGGTTGAGGTATGTCTGTCCCCTTTTGTCCTTCTCTAGTGGCAGATGGGTCCTGGTGTGCCAGTCTATAGCATTTCTCGGAGCCATACAGTCCCTCTGGAAGGAAGCAGAGAGGTTCAAAACCTAAGGCCATTGTGTAAAGCTGACTTCTGAGCTGGATTTCTGTCCCAGGACCATAAACAGATATGTTTTCTAACACTGTACATGGGGAAAGTATATAACATGCTAATCTTTTCATTAAGACTTCAAAAAAGTAAATGCTTTCCACATCAAGCCACTTCTTGTGGTCTCTAAGGTAGGAAGAGAAGTGAGTT